CTAGCAAGTAAACGGGTTTCCTTGCATAATTTGAATATGGGGACACTGCTAACGTTTAAATTTCACAGATAGGACATACATGACATATTCATAATTCCTGCAAAGTTCTACAGAATTTGAGGTTGGCTGCAAAAGGGACATAGTACCTTTAACAGAGCGTTGTGGCATCATACGCCTGTAATCCAGCTAAAAATTGAAGTTACAAAATGATTCGGCCGAGGACACAGGTTCAAAACTGAGTCACGTTTTTCGGATGGTGCTTTAAAGGTCGGTCCCAGACGTAAATAATCATATCTGATTGATACATGTCTGTAAAAACTCAATTACACACACACACAAATCTTCTTGGTGATTTGATAAAATGATACACGTTTACTGAAGTCTGTCTTTCAGGACATACCGCATTGTTGAGTGCTTGTTAAGAATGTGAAGGTCTTGAATTTGACCCCTACAACAACCTTTAAAGCAAAACACACACTACATTTGCCACTCCCCACCCAGGAAAAACTGAAGATTTACAATGTATTACATGTGTATATACATGGTGTAAGCCATCATAATATAAATTAATATAATGGGAGAGATACAGTATACCTGTACCTCATGGAGTGGAGATGGTGCACACATTGTGTGCATGAATGAATATGATGAGGATAACAACATTGGTACCAAGCAATAATTCTATTAACAGTGTATTACCTCAGACATACTGCTATAACTGCTTCAAAGGGGACTCTAAACCGACCAATTATTAGCCTTAATGGTCAATCTTGGGCCAGACTCATTGATGTGAAAGGGGTGTTAAAAGGACCAAACTAATTATCGGCCTTAGCAGGCAATGTGGTCAGTCTGGTGCCAGGCTCGTTGGTGTAAAAGGTGTGTTCAGGACCAAACATGGATCAAGCATCAATGTATGATAAGGTTCATTGACGCTGATCAAACTCATGGACATGCACTTCATTGACTTTAAAGTGTAGTGTTTTGTTTGTTTGTTGTTGTTTTGTTGTTTTTGAAACTTTACATGCACAAACCCTAGACAGTCATACACATGTACAGTACATGTAATGCATATCTCGAGGTATGAACTACAAGACTACACAGACTCCATGGACTAGTGCATTTCATAGACAGTGTGCTATAGCTGGTCTTGCTCTTATTTGACACTGCCATAGACTGACAAAGCTCGACTAGGCTCAAGGCTTTAGAGTATTATATTTACATGTCAAAATGGAGTCTGTGCCTGAGACTAGTGTTTTATCAACAGTGGCTATACATCGCTTATTAGTTGCACCAAAATGCATTATTCATGAATAATTCCACACAAACAAAATATCAAATTCCTACTACAGTGTAAGCGAGCGCAAGCATCATGGACCTTTAAATAGCTTCAAAACGTGATGCTGAAATGTGGTTTGAATAATGGTATGGTTTATCATCAAGTACATGCATTCTAGGGGCCCTTTCATGTGCAGGGATATTGTATTGCAATTCAAGAATGTATAAATAGGAAGCTTACAAGTAGAATGTCTCAAATATGATCATCTATTTGAAGAAAAAAGAAGGAATAATTACTCCCACACTATCATTAAATTGCAGTGCACCATATCACATTTAGGAGTTCTTGCTAGAAAACACACACAAATTCACTCTCTTAAAGGTACTACACTGTATGTCCCCTCTGTAGAACTTTGCAGGAATTATGAATATGTCATGTATGTTCTATCTGTGAAATTTAAACGTTAGCATTGTCCTAATATTCAAATTATGCAAGGAAACCCATTTACTTGCTAGACTTCACTGTCAAACACTATTGAGTGACTGACTGGATATTTTTCTTCTTTGGTAATAACATACATAAAATGAGCTGTAGAGGGTACATGAGCATTTGTCTACATCAATAACCCATTTCTTGTGATGGCCAAAATTAAACTGATTGAATCTTTGCGTAGCATACCACGTATGACCATTCGGTACAATGGTCTGAAAATCAAGACTATTACTTATAGGCTCTATAGCTCCTAAGTCGATTTGACAACTAATAGTCATTATTTTCCCATTTAAAGACATTTTCAAGCCCAACCTTTTTTAGGGAAGTTCTAAATTAGTATTATCTTTCAAATGCCATTGGAATTTCACCTTTTCATTTTTGGGGCCTGCAAATGGGACATACATGTAGTACCTTTAAGAATGAAACATGGGGGGAGATGTGTTTTGTTTTGTTTTTCTTCAGATTATTGGGCGACTACCAGTCTATAGAGCAAAATTCTTGTTTAATGTTTCACTTATTTTGTGTAAGTCTTTTCAATCTCTCACTATCTGTAATATATCACATTGTAAAAATGTAACTAACCCTTCATACTCACTTGGTTTGAATTGAAACAAGATCAAAACCAGGTACAGGTATTACTTTAGAAAAGTCAAATAGAATGAGATGTGGACACACCAAGACCAAAGAATGATAATGTTATGCATCTCAGAGAAAGAGAGAAAGACTGAGATGGAGAGAGAGAGACAGAGAGACAAACAGACAGACAGAGAGAGAGAGGAGGGGAGAGAGGAGGGGAGAGAGTTAAACAGAGAAAGAGAGAAAGACTGAGATGGAGAGAGAGAGACAGACAGACAAACAGACAGACAGAGGGAGAGAGGTGGGGAGAGAGGAGGGGAGAGAGTTAAACAGAGAAAGAGAGAAAGACTGAGATGGAGAGAGAGAGAGACAGACAGACAAACAGACAGACAGAGGGAGAGAGGAGGGGAGAGAGGAGGGGAGAGAGTTAAACAGAGAAAGAGAGAAAGACTGAGATGGAGAGAGAGAGACAGACAGACAAACAGACAGACAGAGGGAGAGAGGAGGGGAGAGAGTTAAACAGAGAAAGAGAGAAAGACTGAGATAGAGAGAGAGAGAGAGAGACAGACAAACAGACAGACAGAGGGAGAGAGGAGGGGAGAGAGTTAAAAAGAGAAAGAGAGAAAGACTGAGATGGAGAGAGAGAGACAGACAGACAAACAGACAGACAGAGGGGGAGAAGTGGGGAGAGAGGAGGGGAGAGAGTAACAGAGAAAGAGAGAAAGAAAGACACAGGCAGACAGGCAGAGGGAGGGAGTGAGAGCGAGGGGAGAGAAATAGAGAGAAAAAGAGAGAAAAAGAGAAAAAGAGAGAAAAAGAGAGAAAGAGAGAGAGTGAGAGAGAGACATTCTGACAGACAGAGTTAGAGAGATAAACAGGCAGACAGGCAGAAAGAGGGAGAGAGAGAGGGGAAAGAGAAAGAGAGAGGATAGAAATAGGGGAGAGGGGAGGGGGGGGGCACAGAGAGAGAGAGAGAGAGAGAGAGAAAAAAAAAAGGCATTGAGATGGCAGAGAGTAGGATAGAGTATACCAAAAGGAATGTATTTCAGGTACAGCAATACATGAATGTACTGTGTGTAGATGTGTATAACAAGTTATCTTTTCTCAGCCTGTCCAGCATGCACTGCGAGCATTTATGGACTACTAACCTCAGCCCTGCGAATAATGCAGGGAGCTCATACAGGACCCTGAATGCATGGTTAACAAAAGAGGGCAGTATTGATGAAAGATTGGGTCTAACATCGAGTCTAGCTGAAAGGGAATATCAATGCTCTTTACTCTCATACCCTTTTCTAACTGCACTGATTTTCATCGGATGCATCCGGACGCATCCGATGAAACGGCCAGTTAGAAAGCAACAGAGGAGAAAAAGGCGATTAAATAGCCGATGAAAAGAAGAGAAATAGGCGATTAAATTCTCCTGCTCAAGAGCAGGAGAAATTCTCATTCTATCGGTGTGACACCGATGAAACGGCAGTTAGAAATGTTCGGGAGAAAAAGGCGATTAAAACAGCGATTAAAATGGTCAAAGTTCGCAGTATCCGCGCGCTTTATCGTAACCAGCTGTGTTTGTTGACTTATGGTTGAACATGCTGCATGCTAGCTAAATGGAGCGCGGGCTTAATAATTACGCAATAAATCTTCACTTCCGGCAAGGGCTCGCCACAGCGAGTGAATTTCACCGGCAGTGAGAAAGCGACGGGGGAAACTGCGGTTTCACCTTTGTTTACATAAGGAAAATTCAATAGGTATTTTCATCGGTGTGACTCCGATAGAAGCCAGTTAGAAAGCAGTATCAATCATCTTCCCTATCGATAAATAAATTATATATTTCCATTTCAGATTCAGATTGAAAGGAAAATCGGCATTAGCTAAATGCATTTTAATTTCAACCACATAGACATACTTTTTTTTACAAGAGACACAAATTCTGACAAATGTAAGATCCAGACATGCAGGAACTTTTCTAATTATTTTGTTCCATTTAGGGAATAATGACATTCTCTTTTGAGGGAGAGAGGAGGTTGTTGACATTCTTGACAACATATCGAACAGTATCTTGAGAAAACAATTACATTTTAATTCATTTGTAACTGTATATCTAAACCCCTTTTTGTTGGGGGGGGGGGGAGGGGAGATGCCAATTCTTTTTAATCCATTTCATTCAATTTCAACTCTGTTCTATTTAGGACACCCAATTTTGTATTCCTTACTAAAATTCTGCCTTTGACTTTCTGCCTTCTAGTGCATTTCGGCACAATATCAACTCTTGAGTATATACCAAATTAGATTATTTTTCAGATATAATGAAAGGTAATTATAACTGAAGAACTTTACTATGATGGGAAACTTTTTTTTTAAATTTACTTTTTTCTCTCTCTCTCTCTCTTTTGCCGTGTCATATCTGAACGAAGCTCAACTCTTTCTCTCACTCTCCCATTTCGTTCAAATAAAGATATTTCTCCATAGAGTGTAGAATGTATTTTTGAAGTGGATCGGTTTCCCTTGGCAGTCCAAATTTCTTCCAGTGGTTGACCAATGTAAATTTGAAAAGTTCATGAAAGGCCAGAGGGGGGGCTGTTAGCATCCTCAGTCAACTCCAAAGTGAGGTGAACTCTACAGTGATTTTGAAGGCCTCTCATCGTGCGTGATTTGAATCTTGCCAATCACTTTTACCTTTTTTACCTGGAACTATTTCTTTTTAGCCATGTAAACTCATTTGGAACCCTCTTCTACTGTCACTGGATCTTTTAAAGCGCTGGGTTTGTGCTCATAAGAGGTAATTTATGATACTGTAACTATTTGTATTTTGAGACGTGTTGCTTCTGTGAGACTTGGACTATAGTACAGTCCCATCTACCAATTGTTGCGTGCGGTCATTTACATTTTCTGTTTGCGTGTGTGTACATGCCTACATGTACATCGCCATCGACTCATTTCATGCGAACTCACCTGACCTGTGCCGGAATCTGATTACTTTTACTTCCGCTGTGCAATATATTTTTCATCATCCTTCTCATCAAACGTCTCGCTACATTAAATTTACCTCGTTTTCTATTAGAGTTTTTATAGACAATCAGCAATGAATACTCGAGCTAAGCCTAAAGCACAAACCCAGGCCCAGCCATCTCAACCTCTCATCAGTGCTGAACAACTTGTTGATCTGCTTCAAAACGATGAACTTCTTACGATATTCCAAGGCGTTGTCAACAAGGTGATCGACAAGATACTGGCAGGAGTGAAGGAGCAACTTCTTGAAAGGATTGAGCAGAATGCTGGAACTATTTTGGATCTGCACTCTGCTGTCGAGCAGAAAAGGAAAGAGGTTGATCATCTCAATGTTGAGCTGACTAAGCAGCAAGACACCATCGGTCGCCTGGACGGGGAACTTGAGGAGCTGAAGCAGTACTCTAGGAGAAACAACATCAGAGTTTTTGGTTCTCCTGAAAGTGCAGGTGAGATCACCGATGATGTCGTGATTGACATCATGGTAAAGCAACTAGGAGTCGAGCTTCGGTCTTCTGACATCGACCGCTCGCATCGTGTGGGCAAGCCAGGTGGACCGAAAGCGCGTCCAATCATCGTTAAGCTTACTTCCCACAAAAAAAAGAGAGAAATCTTGAAGGAGAAAAAGAAACTTAAGAAATCAAAAATCTCAGTTCATGAGGACCTTACCCGCTATAGACACAGTTTGCTAATTGCTACCCAGAAGAGCGATAGAGTCACAACCTGCTGGACTATGGATGGGAAGGTATTTGCGAATGTTCCATCCACTCATGGTGAGTCTGTAAGACGACTTATCCCAAACATTGACTTTCTAAACACTCTCCCGAAACTTGTGTGGTAGTTCTCTTTCCTCACTTGCCAGTAATATGTTTATTTTTTTCACTGATTATGATAGTGTCAAGATTCATGACAGCGACATTTCACTTGCTGTATTTTTCATACTGATTTATATTTGTTATTGTGTACATAGTTGTATGAATCTAATGTATCCTAGTCTTTGTCAATGAGACTTTATTTTTTATTAACTTAAGTAAAATATTTTAATCTTTTTTATAAAGACCTTTTTATAATTCCTTGGCTGTGTGTAATTTTTGTAATTTTTTGTAATTTTTTTCGTTGTTCTGCCTCTTAGCTGTTGAAGATACTGTGGGGTGTTGTTTATTATTGTTGTAGTAGTGGTACATGTATCAATCTTGTATGCCATAACCTATTCTTGTGGTTGGTACATTTTTTAACCATTATTTATATAGCTGTAATATACATGTATAGTGGGTGGTACTTTCTCTAATGCCTTTATCTGATTTCTGCAAAGAGGATAGTACACCATACCTTCTAGAAGATCAATTCAATGAGTTTATGAATGAAGTTGACTCAAAGACTTCATTATCATTTATACATTTTAACTGTCGTAGCCTAAGGAAGAATTATGAAAATATATTTGATTATATAACTTCTCTGTCAGTCACATTTGATGTGATAGGTCTAACTGAAACTTGGATAAATCAGGATGAAAATTTTTCATTATTTGTTCCTCCAAATTATTCTTATGTAAACTGTGGCAGAGTTGAAGGTCGTGGAGGAGGTGTAGGAATTCTGATACACGATAATTTAAAATATTTTCATCGTTCTGATCTTACTGTGGTAAACAAACAATATGAGATGATCTTTATTGAAATTCCAAGAGAGAGTGACAAAAATATTTTAATCGGAGCTATGTATAGACCGCCTAATCAATCGGTTGGAATGTTCATCAATGATATCTATACAGTGTTATCCAACCTCCAAAAAGAAAATAAAGACTGTTATCTTATGGGCGATTACAATATTGATTTAATGAAAATGGATGTGTGCCTTTATGTAAATGACTTTGCCGAACTAATGGCATCTCATTGTTTTTTCCCAATTATTTATAATCCGACTAGAATTACTAAGGAAAGTGCAACTCTTATCGATAATATTTTTTCAAATACAGTACATGAATTTTTAAAAATTGGTATTCTATTGACTGATATAACAGACCATTTACCTATATTTGCCACTCTCTCTTGGAATAAACCAGTGAATTCCGAAAGAGTATTTTATAAACGCAATATAACTGACTCTGGTTTTCAATTATTTAATAGAAATTTCAGTACCTTGAATTTTCAAAATATGTATAATACATCTGATGTTGATATGAAGTATAATCTATTCATGAATGCTTTTAAAAACATATATGATTCCTGTTTTCCACTTAAAAAGATTACAATTAAGGAAAGGAAAAGTGTTAAACTATGGATTACAAACGAAATTAAAAAACGGTGTAAAAAGAAGAATAGATTGTATAAAAAATATCTTTCCAAACCATCACTAGAGAGAGAACGTAATTTTAAAACATTTCGGAATAAGCTGAATAAAGATATAAGATATGTGAAAAAAGAATATTATTTAAATAAGTTTCAGTCCGTGAGAGGCAATATGCAAAAGACTTGGAAGTACATTAATGAAATAATAAGGAGGAAACCCCAGGGTGTCCGTCCGGAATTTATTTTAAATGAAGGTGACAAAATTTATGACAATATGGGCAATTCCGTATGGGAAAGAGGAAAATCACCAAATTCTTAATTTGATCCAACTTCAATAATTTAACATTTTCCATGTAGTCAAGAAATCACTTGTGACGGAACTGAAAACCGTTTTGAAATATCTTTTACGGTTTTTCTGAAAAATTTATTTGAAGTTGGGGCTATTTTGGGGGCCACAATCACATGATCATGATTTAATTTCTTAAAATTCAGTGGAGCAATGTATTTAAAACTTATTCCTCTATATTTATTCCTAATTGAACAACATCACAAATAGGAATCAAGATTTGCAAATTATTTTCAAAAAATGAAAAAAGTTTTTGTGTGAGAGATTTTTCAATTTTACCCTTAAAATGGCGTAATTCCGTTACCAAAATTTGAAAGAAGTTTTACTCACAAAGTTATTTCTTACTTCTTTTTTTTGAAGTTGCAAATTCTCTTCCTTTATCTACCTACCAACAGCCCTAAACATTAATTTCAGAAGTATCTACTTATTTTCCTATCAAAACACTGGTAACGGAATTACATGGTAACGGAATTACATTGGTAACATAATTACAAGGGATAGCAGCATTAGTAATGAGTGGTTCGTTTTTCAAGAGATGGACCTGCTGCCTCATGTACATATAATGTATGCTGTGTTACAACATTTTTAATGGATTTTGCCCCTTTTTTTTAAGTAGTGGCTTATTATATTAACTGTCTAACTAAAGACTAAGGATCTGGCTTCAATAAATTCAATGAATGTTTTTTAAAAACTTTTTTCAAATTTGCATAAAGACTACAAACTAGGCTGGGAATTTTAGATGTGTTTATTTTCATTCACTCTGAACTTGCAATTAAAATTGTACCAACATCTCTTATGAAACCTTTTGATTTAAGCATGGAAATACTTCATATTATTTCACCTATGGCGATTTTAAACAGTGCCTTTTCTGATTTTTATTCTTCACTGATCTCATCTAATCTAATCTATCAAAAAAAGAAAGAAAAATTTCATTAGAAGTTAGAAAGCTAAGACCATAGCGCACTAGCCCTCTTGCAGACTGTGAATTTCCCTACTCTACGTATTATACATATGGGACTTGTAAAGGGAAAGGGGGGGGGGGGCAGTGTGACTTTGACGATGTCCGCTAGCACTCAAAGAAAATACCCCACGAAAACACCCTAAAGAACAGCTAGGCGGAGGTTGGAAAGCAAGGTCTACAATACATGTAAAACAAAAAAAGGATAATTCATTAAAAGTTAGATGGCTATAAAAGACCATAGTGGACTAGTCTTCTTGCAGACGGACACTTTCGTTATATGGATGGGGCCATTGGAGGGGGGGGGGGGGGGAGGGGTGACTCTGAATCAGTCCGCTAGCACACAGACAAAATACCTTTGCCGATGACTATATGTAGGTGGAGGTTGAAAAAGCAAAGTCTAATCTAGCGAAAAATATTTAATAAAAAGTAAAAAAGCTTTGGCAGGTACCGGACTAGTCCCGTTGCAGACGGTTACTTTGCCGACTCGTAACACGTAAAACATATGGGACTGAGGGAAGGTGTCAGGGTAACTTACTGTACAGGTCCGCTAGCGCTCAGAGCAAATACGTTAACAAATGACAAGGTGGAGGTTGAAGGGGAAGGTCTAATCTATCAAAAAACATGTATTTTATTAGAAGTTACATGTAGATGGCTACGACCATAGCAGACTAGCCCTCTTGCAGACGGTTAATTTCCATACTCTACGTATTAAACATAAGGGGAGGGGGGGGGGGATGGCAGGGCGCCTTTGACTAGATCGCTAACGCTCAGAGAAAATATAACTGTTTGGAATGAAGAATGATGACAATGGTCAAGTTTGTTACATGTTGTAACAAATTCAAGAACACTGATCAAGTATGTAATTAATTTTAAAAGAATAATAACCAACTATTAAAGAATGATAACAATTTATTGAATTGGCGTAATGATTTACAAGGTTTGACATTTTATTGCAACTCTGTTGATGACGTTATCTTAATTAATTAGTTTTGAATCGGGTGCTAGCTTTTGTGGATTGAAATTGTAGTATGGAATCATCTGACAAGGTTTGTAATTAATTTTAAAAGAACGATAACCAGTACTCCCTCTAAGGCTCTACCATTAATGTCGCAAAATTGGCTCAGCAGGTTGAAAAATTGGCTCGACAGAAATATGAGATAGGGGAATGATTTACAAATTCTGGTGTGAAATATTATTGAAACGCTGTTGACAAAATGATAGCTATATTAAGCTCTCTTTATATAATTAGTTTAGATTTTGGTGGTTGGCTTTATGGACTGAAATCATTATAAATAAATATTCATGTGTTTTGTTTTTAATTTACACCAAGATCCCTGTGTTGGGTGTAGGCAGTGTTATTAGTATCACTTAAGTGTTTTGGAATTGTTTGAATGCTTAAATGTAACCATCCACGACGAACAGGTTGTAATGTTGCAATTTTCAATCGATTTTGATCAAACCTGCATAAAATAAGCTTTGAAATAATGTATTGCATGTGGTATTTGCTAGGTTAATAGGCCCTCACAATAGTCAATAAAACAATTGAATATCCTTTGTTTCCTATTGAATACTGTGGAGTTTATTGACCTGTTTCTATAAATTGGTCTTGGCGACTTCACAACCAGTTTGTCATGTATGGTCACAAAAGTGATCTGTATATGTGTAATTCCGTTACCGCCAAATGGGCTATAATATATGTAGTTTGTCATACTTTGTGTGATGTTCCTACTTGCAAACTAAACCAAATTAAAATTAGTTGTAAACTAGTATATGATAACACATATTGACATAAATTTAATCACTACACACCAATATTTGCTCAGAAATGTCATATTTACTTGCTATTTAACAATATAAAAGACACGTTTTTCAACAGTTTTTAGAAATGAAGTGCACATATGAATTGCTTTGTAGTTTAAATCAATTATTGCAACCCCTGAAACAATTAAACAACAATTTAAGCCTAAATAATGTTTACAAAATCACCTTTTTTCAAGCTTATTTCAGAAGACGTAATTCCGTTACCATTAATGTAATTCCGTTACCGCTACCTTCTTTCATAAAACCATTCGGCATAGATAAACCATGACAACTTCACCAAAAAAAAATCTTGCCATGGGACAGTCAACAATATAAGCTCCCTTTATTAGCATTACTTCACCCCCAATTGGCTGCAGATTTCAGACGAAATCTTTTCAAAGTTAGTGTAAAAAATAACCTGATTTTTCTGCCGTAATTCCGTTACCGACACACTTTTGGTCCTGGGGTGTTCCGAATGTTGAAAAATAATTTTTTTAAATTTGATTCGCTAACAGGTGCATAAGACAGAAAGAATAAAAAGATAAATAATCACCTAGGTCTAACCACCTGTCTACAGTATATCAAAATAGAGCCCAAATTTCTCTGAAATGTAATTCCGTTACCGTGGAATTGCCCATATAAGAATTACAGAGTTGTTCAATGACTATTTTGTTTCTATTGGAGCCTCACTAGGCAATCAATGCTCTTCCATAAATGACTTTAATTGTTTTTTACAAGGTAATTATTCCAATTCTTTTTTCTTAAAACCTATTACTGAGGGAGAAATTGTCGAGATTGTTCGTAGTTTTAAAGCAAATAAAAGTGCCGGACATGATGATATTGAACCAGAGATTGTTAAGAAAACTATACATGTTTATGCCAAACACCTTTGTCATATTTTTAATGAGTCTTTTATTTCAGGACGACTTCCAGATCAATTAAAGTTAGCAAAAGTAATACCCCTTTATAAGAATCTCTGTAAAGAAAAAATAGAAAATTATCGACCTATTTCTATCTTGCCAATCTTTTCAAAAATATTAGAAAAATTGGTCTACAAACGTCTCATTAACTACTTGAATAAGAATGATATTTTATATGCTAAACAATTTGGATTTCGTGAAAAACACTCAACATCCATGGCTATAATTGAATTTTTAAATCTTGTTACTCAGGCATTGGAAAATAAGCTAATTCCAGTTGGTATATTCCTTGATTTATCTAAAGCGTTCGACTGTATTAACCATTCTATTTTGTTACAAAAGCTATCATTTTATGGCATAAGGGGAACTCCTCTCAAATGGTTCGAAAATTACCTTTTGAATAGGAAACAGTTTGTTAAATTTAATAATGTTTGTTCTCAATCACAGATCCTTTCAACAGGAGTACCCCAAGGCAG